CCCCAAAACCCCAAAACCCCAAAACCCCAAAACCCCAATGCTACCTTCATGATTGAAGACCAAATGAATTTATCTTCATATGAGTCAGATAGTTAATAAACCCTCTTCATTGGTGGAATAGTATCAATTTCTTCAGCATCAAGTGTGTGGTGGATAACATCTCTATAAGTTAGTTTTACCTCCTTTTCTGGGGTGTCCAGCCATGAGAGAGTGTGCATCATCCAGTTCTTATCATCTCTATCTGGGAAGTCATCTCTAGCGTGAGCTCCTCTAGACTCCTTCCTGTTCTCAGCAGCGTTAATGGTTTGTTTGGCTTGTAACAGCAAGTTCTCGAGTTCTAAACTTTCAATAAGATCTGAGTTCCAGATGAGTCCTCTATCCTTAGTTCCAATATCTTTGTACATTTCAGTAACAGTTTGGAGTTTGCTTACTCCTTCCTCAAGGATATCTTGTTGTCTAAAGACAGCACAATGTCTCTGCATAGTTTCCTGGAGTTGTCCTCTAATCTCAGCAGTTGGGGCTGGTCCATCTGCAAATCTAATTTTGTCAACCATCTGGAGGGTATTCTCACCTGCATTTGGCTTCAAATCTGACTGGGCTTCTCCTGGAGTGTGATTCTCTTGAATAGTATTGGCAGCTGCTCTACCGAAGATAACTAAATCAAGAAGAGAATTTGCTCCTAGTCTGTTAGCTCCATGAACAGAGGCACAGGCAGCCTCTCCACAAGCATACAATCCTGGAACAATACTTTCATTTCCTTCTTTATCAGTGGTAATAACCTCAGTTTTGTAGTTTGTTGGGATTCCTCCCATGTTATAGTGAACTGTTGGTAACACTGGAATTGGCTCTTTGGTAGCATCAACTCCTGCAAAGATTTGAGCAGTCTCACAGATTCCTGGAAGTCTCTCCATAAGAGTCTCTGGAGCAAGATGATTCAAATGCAAGTGGATATGATCCTTCTTTGGACCAACTCCTCTTCCTTCAATGATTTCCATAGTCATTGATCTAGATACGACATCTCTTGAGGCAAGATCTTTAGCAGTTGGAGCATACCTTTCCATGAATGGTTCTCCTTCACTATTTCTCAGGATTCCTCCTTCTCCTCTACATCCCTCAGTCATAAGCATTCCAGCTCCATAGATTCCAGTTGGATGGAATTGGACAAACTCAAGATCTTCAAGTGGGAGTCCAGCTCTGGCAGCCATACCTCCTCCATCTCCAGTACAGGTGTGAGCACTGGTGCATGAGAAGTAAGCTCTTCCGTAACCTCCAGTTGCCAGGACGGTACTCTTGGCCTTCATTCTGTGGATAGTACCATCTGACATGTTCATTACCATAACTCCTTTGCACTCTCCATCCTCCATGATCAAGTCAAGAGCAAAGTATTCTACGAAGAAGGTACAATTGTATCCAAGTGCTCTTCCGAAGAGAGTGTGAAGCATTGAATGACCGGTTCTATCAGCAACAGCACAGCATCTGTAGGCTTGTCCTCCCTTACCAAATTCAAGAGACTGACCTCCGAAAGCCCTCTGGTAGATTTTTCCCTCCTCGGTTCTTGAAAAAGGCATACCATATGATTCAAGTTCATATACAGAGTCAATAGCTTCTCTTGTCATATAATGAATTGCATCTTGATCTCCGAGCCAGTCTGATCCTTTTACTGTATCATAAAAGTGCCATCTCCAATCATCTTCAGTCATGTTTCCAAGGGCGGCGTTGATTCCTCCTTGGGCAGCAACAGTATGTGAACGAGTTGGGAATAACTTAGAGATACAAGCTGTGTTAAAACCGGCTTCTGAGAGTCCAAAAGCAGCTCTTAATCCAGCTCCTCCTGCTCCAACAACGATTGCATCATAGGTATGATCAATAATAGTGTAATCTCCCTTTAAGTCTGGGTTGGAGGTACTTCCTTGCGGCTGGGTGTTGGACAGTATGCTAGAAAACTGTCTAGTACCTGCCAAATTGATCCGTCTAAAAGAGTTAAAACGAAGCATCTTTATAATTATATAATTATGTTATATATTATATAATTTATTGGGGTTTTGGGGTTTTGGGGTTTTGGGGTTTTGGGG